CTACGGTGTTGGAGTTGTAGCAAAGACAAAAGAATGACATACCGCCAGTAACTGCCATTATGGTTCCTCCAGTCAGTGCAGCAGCACCTATAATGCCTCCTCTTTTCCACTTACTCCATGAATCTTCAGGAGATATAGTCCCTCCATCTGATTCTTCTGCCTTCAGTAAAGCCATTGCTGAACATGCAACCATGGTCTCAATGGCTTCCTGAGAGAGTCAATACCCAGTTTGGTCATCAACTATGGCACTATGCAATTTGAACCCAATAAAATTCTCATACTCACTCCATCCCAAAATTATGTTCTCACTTTTTTTTCATCCGTCCCAAAATTATTTATCATGTCCTTTCAAGGAAAAAAATATGTGATCTATATTATTTCTCTTTCCTCAATCACAAAGCTTTTACTTCGCTAATTCATTTCCCGTCAAAGTGTGCCCTAATTTTATGGCATAATCATTATCTAATTCCGTAAATTGGGTCTCAATTCTCAAAATGTTCACTGAATTGAGACCCAATTTATGATAAGAAAACCCCCTAGATGAATAAAAGAGTGAAACTTTACCTAAATAGGAGTTTTTATGTTTTTTATCTAAACAGGAGTATGATAGCCCTAATAGATGCCTTTATATTTTTAGATTGTACTCTAATGCAAAGCAAAAAAAAGTGTTGCACTCTTATTTCAGTTTTAAGTTTAATATTACTCCTACTTTGGTATTTTTCTCATTTAAAACTGGCTTTGGTTCTTAACGACGTAATTTGGATCCAAAGCGAAGAAAAATACTCTTTATATTAGTCTAAAATATGGGCGCTCAACTATGCAATTTAAACCCAACAAAATTTAGATACACATTTGGTTCGAAATAAGAAGGTTATTCTCTTTGGTTCACCAATTTAGACCCCACTCGTAGCCTAAATTTCTACCCAATAAACCGTCCTCTCACATTAGTAGTAAAGAACAAGAAATACTCCCAGTGTCCTGTAACGAACTTCATTCTTTGACCTAAGAAATTTATGAAAAGAGTGAACTTAAGAGAGAGTAAGAAAAGTGTGGACTTTTAAAGTGTTGAAAGTGAAAAGTGTGTAGTTCAATTTGTTTAGAAGAGAGACAAGTATTGTGAGCCACATATCCCCTTCCTTAAAAGGAAAGGATTAAGGGAAGGTAAGAAGTGAAGTTTCTTTTGGGCATCCAGGTAACGAAAGTGTGATATTCTTTATGGAATGGAGGGAGTAGTTTTTATATAGAAATTTCAGGTAGTTTAGCCGTATAAGCCAATTCAACCACAATTTCAACAAATTAAGTGATTTTCAGTCATATTGGTCATTCTAGTTCTTACCGAAATTGCTCTTAATGTCACATGGAGCATACCATTTTAATCCATTCAAGACCAAACCATGTCGCAATCAACCGCAAAGCCACACGATATCTAGCATCATACCCCTTTACTTGACAAGTAGAACGTTTGCTATCATCTTCTGGTGTATTTGCCAAACACGCTGAAAGAAGTACATAGAGAACTGACAATTTCCTATGATATGAAAGCATTTTAATATTTTCCAATGGGTTTTCTCTGGATCCTGCTATAGGCTCCATATGTGCATGTCCGGTGAGCGATGGATCATAACCTTCATCCAGATTTTCAGTGGTTGAAAACCTTTCCCTATATTCTTCCTCATAAGCACGCCACTTCTGCATGGCAGAATCTGAATCAGAATTAAGCGATTCCTTCAATTTTGATACCATAGCATCAATGGATTTAGCCAAATCAAGTTCCTTTCCCTCTAGTTCTGAAGAACCTCCAACACTTTCCTCATTGAGTAACGACCTTACAAACTGATATAAGATTCACAAGACTTTATTAGTGATATTGGCTAATGACAATGTGATGTAAGTGAAATAAAAACAAATGATATTTGCAACAAGTACTTATTTGAAACCCAAAACAAATCGGTACTAATTTTCATGAGCCATAACCAACTCAAGTCTCTATTTGGATTGACTGTTAGGATAAGTAAGGGAGGGTAAGTAAAAGTGAGTACTCCTCTTTACCCTTGTTTGGGAGATTGTTTTAGAATGTAAGGGTGAGGAGTAACACATACTCTTCCCTACACCCATTTACTCTCCATTTTTTTACCACTCCAAAATGGAGTGCGAGGGAGAGTAAGGCGTACACTTCCAAACAAGGTTTCTTCATTACGTCTTGTTTACTCATCCTGAATCTTGCTCTTGTTTACTCTTACCCTTCAAACTTACTCTCCAACAAATGAAGCCTAAACATTTCAATCAGAAGTGGGGATGGATTGTGTTTTGTTGGGTGATCAGAACCCAAAATCTCAAACTTTTATTAATCCAAATAATAAAATTGTTTACTCATTAATAACCAAGATGCCGTGTTTTAAGCTAAATTCCTTTCTTAGTGCAACCTTCATTAGAAGGAATAATGAGATGAAAATTCTAAAACCTTCATCATCAAAGTTATTTCAACATGCATGGAAAATATCATGAAACGGCAATGAGTTGATATATTTGTTATTTTCGCGATCCATTACAAGATTGATATATTAGGGTATGCAATTCAAGAACCTTTTTCCTTAACACTATGTTTGTTTCAAGGAATTTGAAAGGGAAAAGAAAAGAAAATGAGATGAAAAACACTTTTTCATGTTTGGTTAGAGAAGAAGAAAAAAAGAAAAGGGGAAGGAAAAGAAAATGAGAAGGCAAAATGTACTAAAAGGAGGAAAAACCAAATTCCTTCCATTTTGGTGAGGAAAATGAAAGAAAACCATTTTATTTTCTTTTCCTTCCAAATTCTTTGAACCAAACATCATGGTGTAACATAACATGGGAAGCTAATCTTGGGACGGATGAAAAGTGAGAGTGAAAAGCTAATTCAGAGACGGAGGTTGTATAAATTACAAAACATGGTCCATTAACAAGTTTGGGTTTCAAGTTGGGTTCGGCACAATTTTATTCACGCGTTAAACTTTAAAAACCCGGGCCGGGTTTGACCCAACTTTGTTTGAACCCGACCCTGTTTATAGAAACTATGTGTCAACTCATCGAAAAAAATTAGGTTGCACCCCAATTGTGCCATCCCTATTTGCAAGTGCAAATGTCTTTCACCTTGCAATACATGGGTACATCTAAAGTGTAATCAAATGCTGACAAAATAATTGAAGAGAAAAAAGTACTAACCGCTTCAACATGATCCTGGGTCGATGAAGAGCCAGCAGTTTCCTCAAGTCCAGACCAAGCTGATTCCTCAATCTCTAGAAACCTTTTCTCCATAAAATTGATAACCAAAACTCAAATGAATAATCCTCAATTCATTCAAGTACTCTTCATTTGATGAATATTACTAGAAAAACAACTAGGGCATACGAAGTTTGTATCCCAATTTGCACACCACCATGTGTATCACAGACAGACAACAGTTGTCTATGCACAAACAATTGTTGTCTACACAGTGTGAGCAAATTGGGGTACAAATTTGGTCTACTGAGAGGGAGATGGATATGACCTGAAGACGGGGCGAAGGAGGCCGGAAGAATGGTGAGCCCATAATTGGGGATCTTCAGAGACGGAACCACAGCCGTCGTTGATTTCCTTAGGGATGCGCTCCGGCGTCGACGGAGATCCGACGTGGCGAGTTTGGTGGATCTGAGCCCGGTGGAGTGCGAGGGCGAAGAGACCTCCGGCGGCGTAGTTTTGCCTGTGATTCAGAATCGACGGCGAGGAAGACATCGCGAAACATTTGAGATCGGTGCGCAATTCAAGAGGAGAAATGATCAAAAAACAAACCGCTGCGCGCGGCGGTGCTGGCTTCTCTGTGTGCAGAAAGCGCCGGTTGGGGAGACGATGCAAATTATAGCCAAGCGAAGCCGATTTCTTAGCTCCCTTGTGGTTCCAAATCTCTGAGCTCACTTCAAAAGTTCAATTTTCAAAGAATGGGATTGAGTTTCTTGCTTTGAGCCGTGCATGGGACCAAAATGGTGGACAATGTAGAACATTTCCATTGCTATTTCTCATGGAACCAAAATGAATTGCTAATTCTCATTTTTTGAACATAGATTAAGTTACATGAATTGTCCCTAATTATAAGTGATTTTTTGTATTTATTTCTCAATTATAAGATATTATATACTCTCTCAGTCTCCAATTTAATTACAAATTAGGATTTTCAAGAAAATAAAAATTCTCACTTTTTGAATTTATTTTATTTAAACAAAAATTATCGAGAGAAGAAAAAAAATTGTAATTAAAATGGGGACGGAATGAATATATGATCTTTAAGAATTTTGAAAACTATTCCATAACTAGTCTCTCAGGTATGGAAAAAAATATTTTTTAATATTTGGCCTAAAAAACTATTTATGAAATACTTTTCAAAAATTCAGAATCATTCACGTAACTTCTTATAATTATAGACTAAATTTAGAAAAGCACCGATTATTAGGTTCCATGAATTAATTTTGTTTAAAAGGTACTCCATCCGTCTATGAGTATTTGTCCATATTTGATTTTTTTTTGTCAAAATTGGTAAACTTAAATCTCAAATTAAATAACAATTATATTAGATATTGATACAAAAATAGTTTTATTAGATTTATTTTATCAAATATTTTTAAAATACTATTTTGTCTAATTAATATACAATATATATTTTATTTAATTGTAAGTCCAAAGTTAAAAACAATTGCTTGAATTCTTAAGGGAGAAAAACCCAAGTAGGACTAAAACATTAAAGATATACCAAAATAGGACTTTCATGTTCTTATTCTCGAAATAAAACTTACATTGCCAAACATGATCATATACATTACAAAAAACGTATAGTAATGTGCACATGTACACTGTCACATTACCACAATGCAAAGTCACATTACCATAGTGCAAAGTCCTATTTCGAGAAAAAAACATGAAAATCCTATTTTGGTACTTTTCTCTATATTTTAATCTTATTTAGGGCGATTTCTAAATTCTCAACCCCAGGAAACGTTCCAATCTGTACGTTTTTACTACGCATAAAGAATTACCATGCAATGCACTGCAACGAATATACGTATGTCCTGATACACCCACACCATTAATATGTCATGTCTTTCATGTTACAAAATACAATCTTCTCTTGCTAAATGAGAACATATAGGCACATCAACGAATTTCAACAGCAAAATTATTTTCCAAGTATTCAATTTTTTTTCTTCCTTTATGCCATTTCAATTAAATGGCTTCTTTTTTTTCATGCTACAATTACAACACTCGTTACACGTACAACAGATTACTCTTCAAAAAAAAATTACAGAATACAAAATACAAATAAAACCGCGCACAGGAGGATTCGGAGAATGTCCGAAACAACCTCTACACGGTCCGTTTGGAAGAAGAGCTGGAAAATGTGTTTGGTTTTGAACCAGGGAGGGAGGGGCTCATCTGTCATAATGGATGTGGTTAAAGGTGCCGGGCTTCACCGGATCGGGCATCGGGTTCAGTTCCTCGAAGAAGTTGAAGTACTCGTTCTTGAACTTGGGTATCACCACGTCCTTGCCGCAACGTAGTGCAGAAGCCGGCGATCCCAAACCACTTTGGGACTCAAGTGCATCGACTTCGGCTAACAGATCGGACACGGACTCTTCGTCTAGGGTTGTGAACTCGATGGGCTGCCAGCTGGACACATTTAAGGTCAGGGGAGAGGGAGACGAGTTGGTGAGGTTTTCAATGTTTGAAGTGGGTGTGCCCGCGGGTAGGTTGTTAGAGACGACCACGGTGGATTCCCACTCATTGATGGCCATACTAGAGGCACTGCTCCAGCTCCTTACTGAGTCTTGAACGGGTAGGTTTGAGGATGAATGGTCCTTTGTTTCGGCCATGGTCTGTCCGTATTGATGGTCTTCGCCGCTCGGTGAAGGGCTAAGATGGTCCTGGTGATTGGGACGCTGGGTGGGGAAACATGATGACAAGGATAGCAATTCTTCGGCTGCTTGGACTTCCCAGCTCTTATTATCACCACCACCTGCCGTTGGGGATGATTCGTTCAGGAGGGCTGTAAAGCTTATCCTGACACTCTGCTCTGGGAGGTCGTCCGGCTCGGTGGGGACCGAAGCAAAATTGGTGGCGGGAAGCACGAGGTTTGAGGTTGGTACAGGTAAAGATTCCCAGTTTTGTCCTGAAGATTGAATCGGAAAGGGCTGGGAATTCGTAGATTGCATCTCATGGCATTCATTGCCTCCAAATCTACTTTCGAGCTCTGGATGACCGGATAGTTGAATTGGATGGTGTTGGGACATTTCAGAAGAAGAAATTTTACCCTTTAATAACTCCAAGAAAGAATGGGTGCCCGAATCGTCCATTGTTACACACTCATCGCCGCCATCCAAAGAGAAACTTTCCTTGTTTGGTTTATTTTCAATCGACTTTACGTCTGACGCTTCTCTAAAGACTGAAGATTGGATTACTGCGCTCCCAGGGATTTCAAGAGGCTTGTGGAGTAATGCGTCTGTTAAAAGTAGTGACCGATCATCTTCGTTAATTTTCCATACCTTTAAATCAGGGGGGAAGAACCCGGCTTTGTTCCATGCGCCCAGTTGAAGCATTGAGAAGGGTCCTTGCACTTTGCCTGTGGGGTCATGGTAAAACCACAGCTGTTCTGTCTCTTCACTACTCTTAGTGTCAGGCGTCAACTTCTTATCGATGAGAGGAGTTGCATTGGAAGATTCAGACCGACAGCGTCTAACCTTTGCCTGACCCCTAATGGATGAGGAGACGGCAGGAGGAGTTTCTTTTTTGGGACGTTTGGCTTGCAGAAGATCATTTAGTGTTAATGACAGCTTTCCTTTTAGATCAAGCCAGTATACTTTGAAAAGATACTCCCATGTGGTTTTGTCATCAAAATCTACTTGCACCTGCATAGATTTTGATGGCGCGGTGAATGAGAACAGGCTTGATGAAATATTATTCAATGTTTGGAGGTAATAATAGACCAAATGTGGGATGGTAAAGCTCGAGAAAAAATTAAAGGCATGTGTAGTAACTACCCGATTCAAGTTTTCTAGGAAGTAGAAAATTTAAATTTGTACAAAACCTTAGAAACTAGAACTGTAAAATTCTACCTTTTTCCAAACTTAATAAGGAATCTTGAGAATGCTTCTTACAAAATAAAGAAAGAATGATTGCTTCAGACTTCTGCCTAAAAACCTGGGATTTAAGGTCTTCAAACCCTGAAAAGACTTGCTTTTTCATGCACCACAACTAAACTCTCTATAATCCTAACTCTGTTGATTTAAGTAGCATTACCCGTAGTAAAAACTCATGGAGGTTATTGAAGTTAGACCCTTAATGCATTGTTGCATTTACTACCCAATGTAGACCCTTATGGTTAAGTTTCAGTCTCAAGATACTCATACAAGCAAACAAAGGAGAATATGGGGAAGTAATTAAACAAAGATCTAAGCAAGTGAAAGGAATATGGAAATTTTGATGGTGTTTTTGAAAGATCTGTTGTAGATCAATATTTATTGCTAGAACAGGGGCCATTTGAGCCAAAGCAAATGTAGCCTCCACTAGTATATATACCATGTACTTGGTTTGTGTGTGTGTGTGTGTGTGTATTACTTGACACCCCTTCCATTATTTAGTTTGCTCTTGGCTTTTTGTGATTTGTGGTTTCTCTACTTTATGTGTCTTTTGTGTTCATGTGTTATATGTGCTACCTGAGCCTGGGGTCTCTTGGAAACAGCCTCACTACTTTTGAGTAGGGGTAAGGTATCTGTACACACACCACCCCCAAACCCTACTTGTGTGGGATCCAACTGGGTCGTTGTTGTTGTTGTTGTACCCCTAATGAAAGTAATTGCCATGGAATGACATGGGATGAGTATGATACTCATTTTTGCATTTGAAATTGCTTATACCTTAAAGTAAGACGGAAGGAGTAGCTAATATTCCAAAAAAAAAAACTCTCAAAGTTGGTGCACTCAATTCCACTTAAGAAGATTCTTCCAATCAACTTTAGAGTTTTTTACACCTTGATGCTACATTGAGAGACTATGGTGCATGTATGTAGAGTGTAGACTATGGCAATTGTCTTGCAGCTACATTGATCCATGGCCTTGTATGTAGACTATGACAATTGTCACACAACTAAATTGCTCCCTTATGAAAGTAATTGGCTCTCTTTTTCATGACATCATGCAAAAGAACCTAAATGTTAGGAATAATACTCTCATTTCTACATTTGAAAATGCTTATAACTTAAAGTAGAACAAAAGAGGTAGCTAATAATCCAAAAACAAGAAAGATAGGTATACTCAATTTCACTTAAGAAGATGCTTCCAAACAACTTTGGAGTTTTTTAACACCTTGACGCCACTTGTCATCATTGCGCATTAAAAGAAGGCTACATTTCTCCATTGAGATTATGATGTGGTGCCTCTATGTAGACTATGACAATTATCATGCACTTACATTGCTCCCTGGTCCTGTATGTAGACTATGACAATTGTCCTACAGGTACATGGCTCCCTGGCAAAAGTAACTGGCTCATTGATTTCATAACATCATCCAAAAGAACCTAAAGACATGGAATGTTACTCATTTCTGCATTTGAAATTGCTTATTTCATATAACATCCATTTAAGCTCCACAAGACGTACTCCCGCAGATATGTTTCAATCATACTTATTGAGAACTGTTTCAACCATACTGATTGAGATTTGGGAATATTGATGGTGGCAATGTCCACAAGCCAGATCTTCAGGGAGACTACTATGTTACACAACATTTAATTTTTTGATTTGAGCATTGAACCCCACCTAATAGCTTCATCTTAAAGGATGATGAGGACGAAGTACAAGAAGATAAAGTCCCTATAAAGATCCCAATGAGACACATCAGTACGATTAGAGATTTATAATGGTGTGTGTTTGATTGGCTTTACTTCATATTATGGTTCTAATGATGTGGAATTGCAGAATAAGTAGACAATATAGATTTTTTTATAGTATCGCTTTGGACTTGATACTTCATCCATTCATTCTCAACCGATACACAAGGCTGTCACAACCAGATTGCAAAATATGGACCCCCCCCCCCNATAAACGGCGGTGTGTTTCTTTACCCTGAAATCTTATTCAAACAGAAGTATGAGGCTCAAAATGGTAATTGCATAACGTTGAAGTGTTGACTCTTACAAGACGCTTTAATATCCAAGACCCCCCCCCCCTACTGCTCATAAATGTGCTTGACCACCTCTTGGACTGAATCTAAAGCACAATGCTCACTCTTTTTCGCATATGAATAGAATTGTATCCTATTGAATTTAGGATTCGTGTTGGATAATCTCTAAGAGACTATTAGAATACTAATACACTAGAACTTCTTGCTTGTGAATATATATGCCTTGCATCTTTGAAGAATAATGTAATCTCTGGATAGGAAAAAAATCTTTTTATAGGTAACTCTATTTATTGGCCACACACCTGTGTTGATAATTAGAATACTCATATAAAACTAATGCTTGTAAGATTGTTTGATTAGCCTCTAAAATCCAAATCTTGTGAGGTTTGCAATAAGCTCTGATAAATGACAATGTAGACAGATTTGCTATTGTACTTGTAAAAATTGAAATGCTCGTGGGCCCACCAGTAAAACTTGAGGTGTGAAGTTGGTTTGGGAAAGTATTGAAAACTTCAATTGCTCATTAACTTACTCTATTTTAAAGGACTAATGTACTGTAAGACTATGGTTCCAAAGTTAATTCTTAATCAATGGAAGCAACTTGTTTCCACTGTAATCAATGACAAGTAAAAGTAAGTTTATGGGATTGTAAGCCTTGGCATACGATGCATAAGCAAGGTGCTTCATAATGATTGAAAATCTAGAAGTTAAACCTTTTTGTGGCGCCATGTTCTTTATATTTCTAAATTAACAGCTGAGATTTAGCAAATAAGGTCTTCTATGTTTTCTTGCACTCTATCTCCCACACCACTTGTGCCACATCAAAGTATTGTCAGAGCTATCAAACGTGGGAAACCAAGACAAAAGAGGGCAGTAAACATACCTTCTCCTTGATTACTTCGTCTTTATTTTCAATGAGCATGATAGTCTTCATGCATGTAGTGCAAAACCCTTTGTTTCCTCTGACGCTGAAGTACTCAGCATTTGTTATGCAATCCTTGCACAATGAGAATGTACAAGTGTAGCACAGATAGTGTGATAACTTGTGACACACACTACATATATGCCAACCTGAACAGCAGGATTACTATCAGTTTAAACTTTAAGCTACAAAAAACTATGACTCTATATTCAAAGATCATTTTCTTCAATATGATAGATGGATATTAGACTAAAGACCATAATAGGGGTGACAAATACAAACTATTGGAATATATTAATATAAGAAAGGATAGGAGATTAAGGTTTATTAACTAAATTGGTTCAGAACTGAAAATTACAAAATAACAGCATTCCTGCATCATCAAATTTATTAAAGCATGAAAAGTTGGACATTGTTAACATGAACAATAATAGAACATTTAAGAATGCATGAAAATTTTGAAAAGCGATTTCCTGTATTTTGGCAGTATAGCAACTAAGATAGCAAAATACAACAGGAAAAACAGCAATATAAACGAATTCACGAAAAGAGCCAAAGTTTGTCATTGCTGGGGGCAAATTGAAAACACAAGTTCCAAGGTGGCAGATGTGAACTTTTTAACAATATTATCCTCCTTACATCCCAAAGTAATGTGCTCACTTTGACTTCATAGAGATTAAAAAAGTGTAAAATATTAAAATGATGTTGGTTAGAATTTGACTCCAATAGAGAATTATTTTGGATCACATATTCTTGTCTAAAAAAAGTGAGAAATATTAATTTGGAACAGGTGCAAAAAGTAAAGTGGGATAACATTTTGTGGAACAAAAGGAGCAAAGAACTCATAAACAGCATATTAAACAAAAATGAGAGAGACTGCACCTCATCAGCCCCATTGGCTCTACCCCTGGATCAACTGACCAATGAACGATAAAAAAATGGCTATGTAGAGTACATACAACAACTGAGAATTGCATGAAATAATTGAAAAATAGTGGTGGAAACATCATGTTTTAGTTGTTACTAGTTGTAATGCCCAATGAGCTCGTACTTATGAGAGCTACAACCCTCCAAAACGAGATTGCATCTAAGAACTGATGAGAGTGTAAATGTCACAAGCCACAAAGATTGAAACTTTAAGATACAATGATGCACGAATATCAAGACAAATGCATAAAAACGAGGTAGATAGTAGATGTGTAAAATGGTGACATACCACAATTCCATTTAGCTGTTGCTGCGAAATAAGACTCATCTCGTTTGATACAAGTTGGATGGTAAGCTTTAGGGCAGCCCCTAGCCAGAGAATAAAAACATTTCAGTTTAAGTTGGGGCGAATCAAAATCTAAAAGCGGAGTACATATTAAATTAGGGCAGATATTGATGTTATCACGCAATGAAGACGCGAATTAGGATGAAAGGATCCACTCACTTGCGATCGCAGAGAACGAGAGAGCCGCCATCGAAGCAGATGAAACAGACATCTTCCTCCGGCATCATCTTTTTCGCAGGCGGGGGATGATGCCTAGCCACAACCTCCCCCCTGGGCGGCCGACCTCGCTTCCGCTTCTCCGCCGCCGTCTGCTTCCTCGCGGACACCGCAGCCTGCTCGCCGGGGATCACAGACCCGCCGGACACCGCCGCTGGAGCTGCATCCATAATCCCGGACTCCGATGAACCGATCGCGCCGCCGTTGACTCGCAGCTGCAGAAACGCCGGACGGCAACCACGCGGTGAAATCGGAGAGCTAGCAGAAGACCTAGACGACGACGGATGATGGCGATGATTGAAAGCTCATCGATAGTGGCGTAGTAGTTCCGTGTTCTGATGGGAATTGGAATGCCAGATCATTCACCGCTGCAAACGCCGTCGTTTGGGAGTGTGGAGAGTTTGTTTTGGGGAAGAAAAACGAAATGGGGGGTAGGGTGGGCATTAACTATTAAAAGTTTGGGACCAATAAATGCGGCCGACGACGGGGGAAAGGTCAAAATTAAATTTTGAAAAAAGAAAATGCGGAATAATTTCGCTTTCGTTGCCGGGAAATTCAACCGCTTTTCATGGTTTCAGACAACAAAGAATATGGCCTTTCCACTTTTAAGGTTCCGTTTGGAAATCAAACAAATTACTACGGAGTAATCAAATTCGAGTTATTTTTAAGATATTTTTTTTTGTTTGGATGAAAGTCTGGAAATTTATATTCATAACTCACTCGTTTTTGAAAAATGAATGAAAATTTAGAAAATAGATTGAGAATTCGTATAAACATTTCGTTGAACATTTTGGAATAATCTTTACTAGTTTGAACTAGGATTGCGTCAATAATACTTGTTGCACCAGAAACTATGGGGAATATGCAAGAGCTAAATCCGACCAACAATAAGCTAAAAACGAGATTCAAAGAGCATCGCAGTTCGTATATGACACTACACATGTACACTATTGTTGGTGGTAGTAATAGATTTTAGCATGTTTTTGTTGTTTCTGTTATTCCGTTGCAATCATCATTAACAACAAAATTATTGAAACAATGCAACGAAAATTGTTGTTGCAATTACATTGTGTTATAACAAATTTTCTCTCTCTCTCACTCTCTCTATTCCTGATTATGTCTGTTCGGTCATGAGTGTCTGCCGTTGAAGAATTGCTGAATGACCATGGGAAGATGTTCACAAAATTAAAATATCATTTATCCAAAATGCAACAAAGGATGTGTGCATCGGTGAATCAACACCGTCGCGATACATCCTTCAATGTCGCTGATTTGGTGCTTCTCGAGCTTCAGCCATACTGCCAACACTTGGTTGCTAGACCTCTCTCCCTTAAACTCGTACGTTGGTACTATGGACCATTTGAGATCTTTGAGCATGTGGGAACATTGTCTATTGTAGGGGTGGGCAAACGGGTCAAGGAAATGGGAGCCGGAACCGAACTGACAGGTTCGGTCCGGGTTAGGGGCAGGTCCTTTTTCAAATATTTATAACGGGCCGGGTCAGTCTGGTCCTTATATGTTTTGGGGTTGGTCTAGTTCTCCATTTTGAAATTGTCCAGGACCTGGACCGGACCACTTTTAATACTTCGTATTATTATTATTATTATTAGCAATTACACTGGGAATAACGCCCATTTGAGTTACGCCCTTACCCCTCTTTGTCATTGTTTTATCTTCATTTAGGCCTCTTTTTTGTACATTGTTGTAGACTAATGGTTAAGGACCATGTATGCATTATTAATTTATTATCACTTTATTTTTTTAATATTAGTATCATGATACGTGCGGACTCATTAACCCGTAGAATCGACCCATTTCAAACAAACCAGGTTAGATCTGGTTTCAACTTTAAAATTTTAAAAACACGTTCTGCCCCGGACCGTTTTAATAAAAACAAGTCGAGTATGGTTTATACAAATTTTGGCTCGGACCAACCCGTGCCCACCCCTAGCCTATTGTTTGTGTAACGCCCCAAAACATGGCCTAAAAGTTATTTTATGATGAAAGAATTTCAAAACAATATTTTGACCCAACAAAATATTATCTCTATGTTTGACCAAAAATGAAGGAATTTTTGGAGTCAATGATTTTTTGTTAAAATTGAGTTTTATGCATAAGTTTTGAAAAGACGAATCAAATGCTATATTTTATGAACAAATCTGATGTACAGATTTTGAGCTGTGACATTTTAAATATGTAATTTGCATAAAAATGAGAAGTGGTTAAAGATGTGAACTTTTGTAATATAACTAGTATCCTGACCTGTGCCATGCACGGGGTCGAAAGAAATTTATGTCGATTCTGAATTATTTCAATGAAATTTATTTTTTGAAATAAAGAAAATATATTGGTCACATGATTTTTAATACTACAAATGAAAAAAGCCCTAGTAAAATAAATAAAATTTGAGGAACAGAATGTAGAGTTAACAATGTTTATTTAAATACCAAATTTTCTAAAATACTTCAGGGTATATAACATTTTTGGTATGGTTGCAAGGATTTCCATTGCCATCTAGAACTAATATTTTTAATCTTGTCTTTGTCTCCACTCATGAAACAGCAAAATATAGTTAACCATGTGTGAAAACTGATTTGGTTAAAAATAATCCCACAAATGACAATGTTTGACTTTGACTTTTGTTGATAGGCATAGCAAAACGTAAGGCGTTGGTACCAAATTCATTCTAGGGATGTAAACTTTTTCCCCGACTCAATATCCCAAAACCACAATTGCACCGATAACATTATTTTATAGCTCTTGAGCGATTATAACCATTTGATATATATATATATATATATATATATATATATGGGTAAAGCTATTTGTACCCCACTTTGTAGCCCGTAGCTTTGCACCAACACTTATGTCGGTGTAAATCATCAAAATGTTTGTGTATAACTGCGGTGTACAAATAGGGTACAATTTGTAGTGTAAGTGTAGCATAACCCTATATATATATATATATATATATATATATATATATATATATATATATATCCCCTTATATATTATATTATAAGGCCCAACAAAGTTTTCTTCCGTGAAGTTAGTCCTTTTTCCGTCACTGTTCCGCTAACATGGTTAGTCCTTGTTCTTTTTCTGTACGCCTCTCCGTTAACTCACACATTCCACAAAAGTGAGACGCTATTAGCCTCTTTGCCGCCCACCGCCCCATGACATACACTGCTTTGGTGCCCATCGCCCCTCCACATACACTGCGTCGCCCAGATCCAAGTCGTCTTCTCCAACTCATCTACCTGTAATCAAGGTAATTTCATACTTTTTCTTTGCATTACACAGCAATTTCTTCCTTTGGGGTTTAGATTCATATTTCACTTCCTATCTCCAACTCATCTACATGTATCAAGGTAATTTCATACTTTTTCTTTGCATTACATAGCAATTTCTTCCTTTGGGGTTTAGATTCATACTTCACTTCCTAATTAGTGTAATCTCCGGATGCCCGCTTACCGCGGAGCTCGCGGCCGTCTAGGGTTTGGAAATAGGGGGAAAAACTCTAATTGGGCTCCGGGTCTGAATCTGGTTTGAAGCGGGTTATTATCAGACCATGAAGATCCAAGAATTCTCTCCTGAGTTTCTACTTCATGACTTAACAGTCCAGTAACAATTACCCTACGGAGCATGAATTTAAAGTTAAAAATTATGCATACAACACTTTGAACTGAAAAGTCAATCAATGAGTTATTTATATTGTCTATAAATTCTAGTAGGCTTAGAATTAGGTGGTCTTAGTTGTGGACTTATTGACCATCTCTAGATCTGTCCACTCTATATGGACTCTTTATAACCAGTCGTCAGTTATTGATAATGGAATTTGATTTTTTGTGTTAGTACTTGCCACCATTGAATGATACTTTTATTGTGTGCATTTCATTGGAAGCATCCACACCCACTGCACACTTCCTTAATTTTTTTTTTTGAAATTAAAATTTAATTTTTTGTTACTTTCCTTTTCATCACTGCATGAATTCATCCATTATTTTTGCCTCACAATGCATACTTTATTCAACACATTATTTCTGTAACTTATTTCCTATATTAAAAAAATTGTTTTTTGATATCTTTGCTATGTCCTGTGGTACACGTTGAAGAGAATGATGTAGATTCTGTTATAACAAAACGATCTAAACTTGCCAATGTTCAAATCTCTATAATTCCTGAACTTGTGTAGACCTAAATTTCCTGATAAAAAATCCTGAACTTATGTAGACCTAAAAATCTTAAACTATTACTCTGTTTAAATATTACATCTATCTGAAGAAGTCATTCACAAAATAGAACTCTCTATAAAAAAAGTCATCTTTGTGACACCGGAATGAATGGCAAGCACGATTTTTTTTCCAGAATGAAGTACTACAAACAAGATGGTATTTTGGTTAAGTTAACCTATCCATCCATTTCAAACAATCTCTAAGCTAATTTAGCCATTTTAGCCAGATATTACACTCATTCAAAAAAAACTTCTTCTTATTTTGATTTTGTTTAAAAATATTTGAAAACACTATATTAAAAAAATAGGCTGTTCAACAAAATCTATTCTTTAAGAAAAAATGATTTCAGTAAAGAGTATTTCTCAATATAGAGGTTCTATGATTTAAGGAGAAAAAGAACTCAACTCAGAGAATTTTTAAAAATAAACTAAGTGTTAACCTTATAATTTTTAGGAAAGTTTGATATGTAAATTTTAAGAGAAAAAATTATTCATTCCATTCGTACCTCCTTTAAATGGGGAATGATGTTTTTAACTACCTATTGTTACAAGGATTAACTTCTTTTGGTTCTTAATGTTTGGCACTGGTGACTTAAATATGTTTGTGTCTGTTTGTTTGGGAATGCTTTCTACTCTTAGCGGTGTAAGCATTGGTGTATGTACTCTCAATTTATTCATTTAGCACTTTTTGCCTATTGTATTACTCTTTAATTTCATCAAGTGCTACCCTTTGATTATTCATCATTTTACTTATAACTGGTTAAAGATTCAATGGAAACTGGATCATCATCTACCCAGTCAACAGTTGACATTAATCGGCCTGAACAAAAGAACTTTAGGCATCGCCTTAGATATCGAGAGTTGCGCGAACGGGAAAAAACACCATTGCAAATATTACTAGACGTTCCAACTTCTCGGTGACTTCTTCAACTCAAGGTGTTAAATTCAATTCCTTTATCATTTGTAATTTAATTTTACCTTTTTTTACGTTTTACCATATTTGCTAATTTTTCCCAAGCTTATCACACTCAATGTCACAATTGTAGTCAGATTGATGCCACCTAACTTCCAAGGGCGGACCCTTCTCACTTTAAATGTTTTAAAGTGATGCCACAATTGCAGTCAGATATTCCATTTATCACTAGATAATCGTAATCTCTTCTCACTTTATATGGTTTAAGTTTTAAGTATGAACTTTGTTTGGGCACCCACATACGTAGTATGTGCCTTGCTAGTCTACCCTTATATAATACGGAGTAAGAGCATCTCCAACCATAGAAAAATGACTTGCTATATGTTATAATTTGACAAGTATATACAAAATTTCATGCTCCAATGAGTTATTCAAAATTTGACTAGCTTGTTAAAAAATGAAAACAACTTGCTATTTATAACAAGCATGCTAGAATATAGCTAAACAAAAATTAATGTGAATTTCTTTTTCAATGATATATACTGCACAAATACTCCGTATAACATTTTTTTCCCGATGTGAATGTGATTTTTTTACCATAAGAGAGTTGTTTGATTTATTTTATTTTAATTAGAAACATTTTATTTTATATTCTTTAATTACATGCTGTTATTTTAGGAAGGAGTATTTTAGGAAGATTGGGCATGAAAACGTATAATGGGAAGTTCTTTTCCGGATGAAGAAAAACGTAGGACAATGAGAAGTTCTTTTCCAGACGGAGGGAGTACTTTTGTTTTACATTTACATGGATAAATATAATTCAAGAACTTTTATATTTTATGTATTATAATGGTTATTGGAACAAAATATATTTGTTAGTCACACCCTCCGTCCCAAAAAAATTACCCATTTACTATTATGACATCTCGATAACTTTTATTTGTTTGCGTATTTTCATTGATCAGTTGATAAAGTAAAATATTCTTATCAGCTCTTGTTTTGTAGAGTTTTTGATGTAAATTTTAAATATAATTTTTTATTTTGTATTTTTACAAATTTGTAAATAAAATCATTTTAAAAGTCATGAGGTTTTGCATGTTGATCAAAATGAGTAAAACATTTTGGGATGAAAAGAGTTTAATATAACAAGTCATAGTTGGAAAAGAGAGCAAAAAGTGGCTTGTTATGCCACTATTCATTTGCTAAAAAAAAGCAATAGCAAGCCACAAATAACAAGTTGCTCTAAGGGGCTATCTTGTTAAGATAGTCATTTTTCCGTCATGTTTTCCGTTTAATATTAACGCGGCTAGGTTAAGAGTCAGCTTTTAGTTTACGGCTTTCTTCCCAATTTTCCCTTTCTTCGGAATTTGGACGACATCTGAGACAGAGAGAGAGGAGCGATAAACAGTTCTTCACCACCGGTCAGTTCCCGGTGCATAGAGACACAAACAACATCAAAGAATATATTGCGACCAGAGCTTTCCGATTCATAGGCGCGACCAGAGGCGGGTCTGGCGCAGTTAGGCGGTCGACTTCTCTCTCATGGCTCTCCCATCTGTTGGAACTTGGAGCGTTACCAGCCCACTAGGAGTCAATCACCTCATAGCTGGTGCTTTACAGTATAAGCCGCCCTCAAATTATTGAATTCTTATTTTTAGGGGTACGTAATCAATGATTCCTAATTTGTTCTCTTTTTTCTATTATTGAATTCTAATTTATAGAGTTTGATTATATGTTGGTATTTGATTTGTTGGATTTGGAATATTTGATGTTTGATAAATGATATTTTTATATAATGATGCTTTATTGTTAGAATTTTTCAATTTGGGGTTTAGTTTCTTGGTTTGAAAATGGATGATAATTTAGTGTTGATTGTAATTGTCAATTTCGGAAAGTATTTTAATTCGGTAAATTACATTTGGAGCAATTATTACATTTTAGTTTCATTGTTTATTGAACTTTAGGAGTACAACAAAGTATTTGAATCATACCTTTTCATCAATCTTAACCTAGCAGAGCTACTCCGATTTCTACAAGTCTTGAACTTCTTCTCCCTCCTTCCCAAAATGCCTCATAGTTCTAATTCAAGTTTTGATGTGGAATTAGGTAATAGCTTTGGCTTCTTCTCCCTCTCTTTATTTCAATAAGATGATCATACTAAACAAAAGTCTGATTTTTTCGATTTCTATGAATATGTTTTTTCTATTTGCGCTTTCTTCCAGACTTGCTTGATCTACTTGGTGTGAGAAAGGTAATACTTTTTCTACACTTGGATTCATTGATTTAACTTCCTTTTTCTTATCCCCTTTCCTAATTTTATGTGTTCTTCGGTTCTTCCTATTAGATTTTAGTAGAAGTTATTTAAAAATATATTGTGATGCTAGATTGTTGTACTTACATGCTTGATCCTCTTAGTGTGGATTTTTTTGTTTTGATCATTTTTTATTAATGGCCAATCATTTGTTTTCAATTTGAATTTTAATTTAATTTTTAAAATTTGGAATGCAATTGGTGGAACTCGGTGCCCTTCTTTGGTGAAGGTCATGTTATTATTAAAATATCAAATGAAACTAAAAGAAGTTAAAATACCATTCAATGGAAACATTAAACTAAATTGAGAACTACTAAAATATAATGATCTCGAAGATACAAATAAAAAGAACAAAGATTTAAATTCACTTCTGTTTTTCACGAAAGTGCAATCAATTGAATTACATGGTCTTCGATGTAGAAGAAGACGAGAAAATTGAGTGTGTTACTTGAACTTCTTGTTTGGAGAAGATAGTATATTTTGCTTTGAAAGCTGCACTCCATAGGGACTAAGATGGAGAATGAGGTTTTACAATTGGTTTTACCTATGCAAGATGGACCAACAAGTCATGGCACTATTAATCTATTTTACATTGAAGTTTTTAAACAGAAAACACATGTATAACAACAATTCGCTATCTTGGATTAAAGTGAGTCAAGACAGCTTTTTATCTCATTAATTATTGAGAGAATTAATACCTATTTTATAAATCAACAATATCTTTTAAAGTATTTCATTCACTCGAGCCATTTGAAATTTATAAGAATATTGTGAATGTCTTTCTTGTTTGCATCAACCTTAAATGTGTTGTTTTAATTTATTGGAATTATTTTGTTATTGCAGGTTTAATTTGCGAGATTAAAAAAAGCCTTTAGGTTGACGCTTGATAAAGGTAAGAAATTGCTTTTATTGTTATTCATCATCCACCATAATTTGTTACACTAATATTTTAAAAATTTCTTCTTTTAAAAGGAAAGAACATGTGTTTTTGATAAAGTATTCTTAATTCACCCAATGCAAAATTTCTCTCCGTTTGTGTTGCGAATTCTATGAAATTAGATTTTCCTTGGATATAGGGTTTAGTGATTCAAAAAAATTTAAGTGCTTAAGAGCAATTAAGGCTCATTTAAGATTGAGATTTGCGGGTAAAAAATAACATGGTACATTACTCCTTTCAAATTGAATAGTTTTGAAATTAAAATACTAGAACACTAATTTGTGGATTATTTTTAAGCTCACAGTTTACATAGAGTTGGAGCATAGACATGCTCCAATTTATAAATTTTAAACAGAAATTCGCCATTTGAAGTGTTTGAAATTGTGGCATGAATTTTACTATCCTCTATTGTGTTTGATATTGTTTTTCACTACCCCACATGACTATGTTCCCAAATTCCATCATAAATGTTGATTTAGTTAGACATCATTTGGTTAACTTCTTCTTTTGTCAAGTTATCCTCTACGGGTAAAGACATGCTGCAACACAATAGGCCAACAATATAAAAGTAGAAATACAAACTATACATTCTGAACCACTAATTATGTCTTCCTTTTTAACCTATTGCAGGATATATGGCAAAAGCAGTGACACACCAATCACATTGGCTTATTTGACTCATAACTACATATGTGCTTAGTCCACTTTGTCTCAAATGTTTTTTTCAAACTTTCACAACCCAGAATATCATCCAGCACTTACACATTTTAATGAATCTTCTTGCATTGTATAGTTATGTTGAGCACTTGCATACCTGTGTTGGGCACCTACGCACGTAGTGCGTGTCCAGCTAGTTATAAGAGCCTAAACCGTTTGTCGCCGTCAATTACGCTTCTTTTCCGTCCCTTTACACACGTGAGACACTACCCACCCACTTCCCCACAATCTCTGCCATCCCACATTTACGCACTTCCTTCAATTTCTCTCTTTTCCGTTTCGTCTCCTACTTCCTTCGCCGCCACCGCCGTTTGTTCTCGTACTTCCTTCACCCCCCACCACCTCGCGATCTCTCCCACCGCCCCACCATCCATGGCTTCCTCACCTTATTAAAAAATAAATCATGGACTCCTGTTTCTCCAAGATTTCTTCTCCTTCACTTTATCCAGGTAATTCTTATCTCTAATTCTCTTATGCTTTCTTGTGTGTCTCCTTTCTCTTGTTTGGTTCTCTTAATTATAATCTTTTCGAAAAAAAAGCCCAACTTCATTTGTGAACCAGTGTGTCTCTGGTGCTTAAAATCAAGTCCGTATTGAATGAAATTAAAATTAGGTTTTCCTTACCATGGTCTTTTTGTTAATTGTAGTTCCACACCATGGATAAGTTATTCGAATTGAAAATTTTGCTCTGATTAGTACTAACTTCAGGGAGGACGATGGAAAATACCACGGAAAATCAAATTTTGTTGGAACTAATTTTTAAGTTCTTTATACATGTTTTGGTGTTCTGTATTCCCACATTTTCTTACTTCAAAGTTTCCTCTAACTTTCCTCCATAGTTTCTTCCTTGGCATTTTTCAAGACTATTGGGATGACAAAACCATTGAGGAGTCATATACGGACTGTATTGTACAAAGAATGACAAAACAAAAGAAATATGGTAGCATATCTGAAAATTTAACAAATCCATCGTCCTCCCCAAACCCCTATAGTCCCTCTGCTTTGAAACTTTAATGGCTGATTTTAGAAGTGAATTAGACTTGGAATATGATTTCCAATCCCAAAGTGAAACTTTTATACCACGCTTTGAGAGACAAATTGAATTTATAGTTGATTTTTAAGAGAGAAGCCACTTTTAAAAGCTGATTTTGAAAGAGAATATAATTGTGAAGCTTATTTTTATGAGAAATCTGACACTTTTGGGGCTAATTTTGAAACTTTAAAGGCTGACTTTCATGAGAAATTTGGTACTTTAAGGGCTGATTTTCAAAAAGATTTTAGATTTTGAAGTTAATTCCCTGGATAAAACAGAACCTGTAGGGGATGATATTTTAAAGAAATCTGAGTTTGACATTCATTTTCAAGATAAAAGTGAAATATTAGTGGCTGAGTTTTCAAAAGAATATGATGTTGAAGCTGATTTTCAAGAAGAAACTGGACCATTAAGAGCTGGTTTTGAAAAAGAATATGAGCTTGAAGTTCGTTTTCAAAACAAATGTGAAACACCAAGGGCTGATTTTAAACTGAACACACCTTTTGGAATTAGTTGACACCGAGAATCTGAACAAATGACTCAGCTCATTACTCATCACAGCTGTTGTCAAGTTTTAGCCAATCACATACCGAAGACGAGATAAAACGTTTTCATTATTATGCCTACATCAGCTGTCTTACCAACACACAAAGAGTGCACATCTCAAGAGAAAAAAAGAGCTAAAAGTCAAGATGACTAACATCTGCAGGGGAAAAGAACAAGTACAATTTCAAAGCATCTAGCTTCAATAATGAAACTGTTAGCCGTAGTGAAAATGACCTCTAACTCTTATGCATGCCATTTTTAAATTTGTCAAGTCGATTTTAGCATTAACTGCATGTAAAATATATGTAATGTCATGCTACTTTAACTGTTTGCAAACAAACTGTATAACTCTAAATGTCATGCCTTTTGTAAAATAATATACAGCTTCTTAGCTACTGGTAAGTTCATGTTCGCCTTCTTAGCTGCTGGCATCTTAGGATAAATGTAAGAATTGAAACCATGCTTTTAGTCTTATCAAATGGGCACATGCTTGAGCACCCACGGACATCGTGCGTTCCCAGCTAGTATGTATATATATAATTTGTTATTAATCTAAATATAAGGCTTATATAAACAGTTTGAGTGCTTAGCTTATGGGAACTAAGTATAAGCATAAGCTATTCCTAAGCTTATAAATAAGTCTAAGCATAAGCATAAGCCTAAACTTTTTTAGCTTATGCTTAGTGGAATTTGCTTATGCTTAGTGCTTAGCTTGTTTTTTATAAGCTTTCATTTACAACCCTAGCTGTGTCCGTTTGTTACCTAGGTACCGGACGAACGATAGGCCCTACCGCCCAGTCGGTAGTCGGCTACCGTGACAGCTATGATCTCCAGCGACACTTTCAAGCAGCGCTACATTCAAAACTCAATTGGGTCGTGGGGATTTGTTGCGCGTTCGCTTAATCTCGCAAAGGGTGAATCTGCTCAAACTATTCGTCTATCTCTCTCGGCCTTTCCAAGGGTAGCCTCACTCGCGATTTCAGAGCATTTCCTGGATAGGAGATTGATTGATTACCCCAAAGTGTATGAAGACGATAATTTTATTATTTCGGATTGTGATGGGCTTATATTGTTTGGTGTTCAAAGGTTTCTAAAAAAGGAGAAGAGTAAGGAGTTTGCCCAAAGTGGGAGATACCCTGTTTGTTTGTGATCTCCTAAGAGGGGAATGGGTTCAGGTCCCGGAACCCTCTCTCCTCTTTGATATTCCCCTGTCACTAGGAATTCTATCTCATTCCCTGGGCTCCAAGTTTATGGTTGCTCAATTTTGTTGGTATGGAAACGTCAAAGCACTTTCCTTGATGAGTTTTTTGTCAGAGTCATGGAGCTTGTTATGTTGACATCTGTTTCTTCCTCATTTTAGCTTTTGACTAAATCATGATATTGGTATGTTCCACTTTTTTTCTTCTTTTGTACTATGGAGTTTTAGTACAAAAGAAGAAAAAAAGTGGAACATACCAATGTCATGATTTAGTCAAAAGCTAAAACGAGGAAGAAACAGATGTCAATTTTTCTTGCAAGAAGAGCAACATCTTGGAAATAAGATCAAGTTCAGGCTAAATAAACAAGATGAACATAGGTAGTTAAGGGAAAATAGGATTCCTGTGGCCTTAGGCAGTCTGCTAATTGCGGTAAGCGTCTGAAAAGGTAAGGTAAAAGGTCTTCTTCAATCAAATGGTAAGTGCCCATAATACTCCACAGAATGCTCATCTTCAATTTGGTCCTCTTCAATTAGGCACATTCTGACCCTCTCCCTTCCCTGTCATTTCATGGACCCTCTCCCTTTCCCTCCCTGCCAATTGAAAATTGAAATATATGAGTCACACACACCCCTACACACATACACCATATAGTAATATAGCATGTGCACAGAGAGTGGAGTATAACACAACAAACTAGTATAACTCACTCAAAAATGATGTCGGCCACCACGGGATGACCAGTGGATCCTCCAACATTAGGGAGGACATAGAGTATTGCCCTTGTTCCAGAATTTTCTTCTCTTCAATATTCACCAAAAATATGCGCCTCGCCGTCACACAAATCGCTACTTCAGGCTTGAATGGATGCAAGTAGATAAAATGCGTAGAATTAACCACGCGCGAAAGCCCATTGTCATTAAGATGTAGCTTGTGCACCAACGTCCAATCACCTCGGGCATAATCACTTAGCCTCCAAAGCTGGAGGGCCTCTTTGGAGGCCAAAAGCAGATAATGAATGTACCCACCCGTGGCCGCAACATGGTGGATATCCTCCCGAGTGCGACCACAGGGCCAGTTTATAAAGCGGGATTCAACAACCTTTTCAGACGAGAATGGATCTTTCAAGACCATTATCCCATGTTCGATATCATACCAATTTAAATTTCCTTGAAAAGCGAAAGCCCTTGCATATGAACATTACCACGCATCAGGCTGATAGCTGCACCGCTTAACAGTCCATCTCCATGACTCTGACAAAAAATTCATCAAGGAAAGTGCTTTGACGTTTCCATACCAGCAAAATTGAGCAACCATAAACTTGGAGCCCAGGGAATGAGATAGAATTCCCAGTGACAGGGGAACATCAAAGAGGAGAGGGGGTTCCGGGACCTGAACCCATTCCCCTCTTAGGAGATCACAAACAAACAGGGTATCTCCCACTTTGGGCAAACTTATTACTCTTCTCCTTCTTCAGAAACCTTTGAACACTAAACAATATAAGCCCATCACAGTCCAAAATAATAAAATTACCGTCTTCATACACTTTGGGGTAATCAATCAATCTCCTATCCAGGAAATGCTCTGAAATCGCGAGTGAGGCTACCCTTGGAAAGGCCGGGAGAGATAGACAAATAGTGGGAGCAGATTCACCCTTTGTGAGATTAAGCGAACGCGCAACAAATCCCCACGACCCAATTGAGTTTTGAATGTAGCGCTGCTTGAAAGTGTCGCTGGAGAACATAGCTGTCACGGTAGCCGACTACCGACTGGGCGGTAGGGCCTACCATTCGTCTGGTACCTAGGTAACAAACGGTCACAGCCACCGCCGGAGGGGAATAGAACAAAGAGAGTATGACGGTAGCACGGTACCGCCTACCATCTGACAAAATAATTTTTCCAACTTCTTACCTGTTTCGTTTGTCACCATCAAATCAACGACAATATCATAACCACAAATACCAATAAGTTCATATTGACGTTCTAAACATTATCAAGTACTTTAACTCGTAATCAACGCCTAATCATGCGTACTACCCTTTTTGATTAATATTATCCCCAAAACTACCATTTTGTTGGGCATTTTTACCATTTGTATTGTCTTTGACATCTTCCGTAGCAGGCACATTACTATTCCTTCCTCTGGTACGCGCAACAACCATCCAAGATCCATAGCTTTCTGTAACTTCCGGCCTCATCAATCATATCCCTACATGCCTTTTCCTGACTCAAGCCTCTTTTATATATGGTCAATTTGACCATTTCCAACCATGTTTCCATCCCCTGTCAGTGGTCGTTTCCCGTCTCGAGACTATTCTTCTTTGGGCAGCCCTCTGCATTATGTCCATAAATTCCGCATGCAGTTGGAGCATATCATGTGGAGCCCCTCATAGGATACACATCAGATGTGTCTCCTTAGTTTGAACTTTGACAGAAGAGGTTTGGTTGTATCCACCTCAACACATACCCTCCCTCGTGAACCTTGCTCAAGAAACAAGACTCGTAGCTGTGTCAATGGTTATCGGCCTACCAATCTTCCACTTTCATGAGAAAACTATAGTCATATACGTAGTATAATATTCCACCGGTAAGCAGGGAAACCGAACCCAGCCACACAAGCACCTTTTCGTTTTCATCAGTGAAGGGGTCGAAGTTTGGCACCCACTCTGAGATAATGATCTATTAAATTACCCCCCATATTTAGCAAATTCATAATCGTCAACGGATGAAAATTTAACAAGGAATGAAGTTGAAGTCATTCTCGAGTGTTACCAGCTAGCTCTATTCTAGCTTTTGGATGCCAAATAGCAGATAATCTCTTTTGCAGGTACGTGTAGCCAACTCTTCGTCCTAGAACCTTAACAATCAGTGTTTGCCTCCATGGCTTTCTTAGTCGCTCTTTCTCTTGTTTGGTCAATCGAATTACCAGACATTCTTAATTTGTCCTCTTCCTCTTCCATGTCTGATTCATCATCATCAGAGGCCATCTCCACTTCGATGTCACTGCCCTTCCCACTGCTCGTCTCCCTTGCAAGGGCCTGACAGTAGGAAATTGCTCTGTTACATTTTTGACCGACACCAACCTATGCCCAAGCCCTGAAGCCCTCTTCGTCAACACCGGCGATCAGATTAGGCGCTGGCAGATCCTCCATGGTTTTAGATTTTTTGGTGCTTCTCTCCAATAGATCATGATCTTCCGCGGTGGGCGGTTCAGTGGCCGCTGCATTCATGGATTCCGGCGAGCAATTCATTGGCTTTTCCGGCGAGCAGTTATTTTGACTTCACTTTGATGGACTTTATACTCTATTATTACATTTGTGATCAAAGAATGCCCAAAATAATTAATGGTTTTATTTATTATAAGTGAAATAGCTTCTATTTTTTTTCTTTTACTTTTGGCCATGTGGGCCCTCATCCCTTGCATTGCTTGTTTTCAGTTATTGGCGCTCTTAGAGCACTAGAAATAGGTTTGAAGCTCTGGGGCTTCAAACCGAGGCTTCAAAATTTTTCTCTCTGTCACGTCAGCTTTAACTTACCTCACAGATTCACTGGAAATGGATTTGAAGCCCCGGGGCTTCAAACTGGGGCTTCAAACCTTCATTTTTTACATTTTAAATATACATCTTCTAAAACTAAATTAATAAAATGTAATTAATTTATTATTTAATTATATTGAAACACGAATAATAAAAAAAAATACATTCATTAAATTTAAAGAAATTGAAACGACAATAATTTAAAATTTAAAAAATTACATTCATTAAAATAAAAAAAACGACAATAATAAAAAAGATACATTAATAAAAAATTAAGGTAGATTATATTTCGCCTTGATCTCTCTTTGTCTTTGCTCGTAGATCATCCGTTTGAAACCCGATAACGTAGAAAGGTCGGTTTCCATGATTTTGAACACCCGAAGTTGTTCAAGATCTATTGGAGATCAAATAGATCTTCTCCTTTAGCTTCATCCTCTCTTCTTCTCGAAGATTGAACACCCGAAGTTGTTCAACCATTGCCCGACTAATTTCGTCGCGAGAAGAAACGGAAAGAGAGCCGGACCCTCCCGAACCCGAGGCAATGGATTTTGCCTTCTTTCTTCCGATCGGCCGTGGAATGGGGTCCTCGTCATCGGAATCTGCAACGTTTACAAAGCTGGATGCTTCACAGTTACGACTACCAGGATGCCAACACAATGATGTCACTGCTAACTAAATGCCTGCGGACAAAAATATCTCTTTGTTTTGGCTAACCATGTTTTTGCATTTCCTTTTTTTCTTCTTTACCCCCAAATTGGGTTGCAGGATTATGTTCACAGAGTTGGAAGAACAGCTAGAGCTAGTCGATCTGAGGTTGCCATTTTCACTTGTAAGCCAATATGAGGTGGACTGGAATTTGCAGATACAGAAGCTCATGGGTAAGAAATGTCTGCTATTGGTCTTAAATACGTAGAAGCTATCATCCGTATGATGTGTAGTCTCTATTGTAGCTCTTAGTTAAAACTTAAGATGGAGTAATATGATGGGGGATGCTAGGGGTACATCAAATGTGTACCCCAAATGTACACCACCCATTTTTTACCACTCATTTTTATATATTCATTTCTTTTCTATTTCACTTGCCAATATGTGTGGTATTGGAGGGGGGTGGTGTACATTTTCCCCGGTATCCTACCCCGGGGGTGGTGTACATTTGCCAATATATGTACCCCTAGCATTTTTCTAATATAATATATATCTTGCTCCACAGGTCAGAAGTTGCCCCAGGAAGTTTTAGTAGTGTTTTTGGATCGTGTAACGGAGGCCAAAAGAATATCCCTAACGGTTATCACTTTTCACATAAACATGTCATTGTAGTCGCTACTCTCTCCTTTTGGTTAAGCTGCCATCATCAGATAATGCTTAGGGTCAAACTGGTTATCGTTCCACCTTTTGCTGCAGAAAATAAAGGAAACTGGTGGCCACAAAAGAAGAAGAAGAAGAGGGAGTGATGAGCTAGACAATGATGTACATTTGGGTTTTAGGAAGGGCAACTCATCTAAGATGCCAAAGAGAAAGTGATACGAAAACCGACCGTCTTGCTTGTTGAGCTTTGTTCGTCATATTTTTACTTCATTTTGATCCTAGGCCAATTTTTTTTAAAAAATGCTTGTAAACTACCATTAAGGGGGATCCGAATTCATTCTCTCTAGCATCTTGTGAAAGCTCTAGCTTGTAATCCTCTCACTATATTTATAACAATTAGACTCCGGGAGTTCTCACCAACTGGCTTCCTGATTGAACACGAGTTAATTGGTTATTCTTATTTTGACCCAGCATTTTTCCCTATACCCGGGCTAGAGCCTTTTGCCTCTGTGACTAATTTACACCATCACAACACAATACAAATTTTATGAAAATAATGAATTGTCAGGAATCGTGGTCATCCTTTTTCGTAGAAACTATGGTGCCTTAAATTTCAAAATATACTCGGTAGAATATGCTACTTGATACTCTACACTTCCTCCGTTCAAAAATTATTTTCCCACTTTAGCTTTATACGTAAATTAAGGTAAACTAAAAACTATTTTGACTTTTCATATTTGTTCTTGGATCATTGCAAAAAGTGAAATAAAGTATAAGCATGAATAGAAATTAATGGCTAAAAGGTGAAGGTAGTAACGTGATTTTGAGAAAAAATATTTGACACAAAAACGGAGACAAAAATATATCTAAACAGACAAATAAAGAAAATGAGAAGATAAATATTTTGACTTTTGGTATATAATAGACACAAAATAATATGGAGTCACACTTACTCAAATATCTAGAAATTAAGGTTATGGTGCTTCTTTTTCAAACATAAATCGCCGACTAGGATTTGGTTGGGCTTCTCGCAAATTTTTTTTCCATCACATCAATTGACCACTTCTTATTTCCAAAAAAAAAAAAGAAAAAAAGAGAAAAAAAGACCACTTCTCTTCTTCACTATGATAAGTACAAAAGCAACACGTGATGAGCATATACACTCACTGTTTATGAATCACGACAAAAAGGAGATGTGCGATGCAATCACGGGAAAAAGCTAAGGGAGAAAATAGTTAGACCCATCGCGTGATTTATTAAACTTCGGTTATGCACACGCTAATGGCATGTTCTTTCCCATTAGTATAGGCGTGGCAAACAGGTCAAGGATTCGGGAGTCGGAACCGAACCGACAGATTCGCTTTGGGTTAGAGACGGGTCTTTCTTTATACGGAGTAAATATTTATAATGGGTCGGGTCAGTCCGGTCCTTTTAGGTTTTAGGATCGGTCCGATTCTCCATTTTGAAATTGTCCAGGACCCGGACCGGATCACTTTTTAATACTCCGTATTATTATTATTAGTAATTACACCGGGAAACAATGCCCTTACGAGTTATGCCCTTACCCCTCTTTGTCATTATTTTGTCTTCATTTAGGCCTTTTTTGTGTTGGATGACTTAAAATTGACAATAGGGTTAGTACATTGTTGTGGACTAATGGTGAATGATCATTTATGTATTACTAATTTATCATCACTTTATTTTTTTTTAATATTAGTATCATCATAGGTTCGGACCCGTTGACCCGTGGAATTAGCCCGTTTCATACAAGCCGGGTTAGGTCCAGTTTCAATTTTAATATTTTGAAAACCTGTTCTGACCCGAACCGTTTCAATAAAAATAAGCCGAGTTCGGTTTATATAAATCTTGGCTCGGACCGGCCCGTGCACACCCCAACATTAGTATTTGAGACTTGTGACTTAAATCTTCTTTGGGAACAACATTTTTTTATTAAAATGTTAATACTAATCTCTAATGATATTATCAAACATGCCCGCTATATATAATTGGCATTCGTAGAGAAGATCCTCTAAGTTTTTTTTAAAAGATTCGCAAGTGTAACCTCACTGCACTTTTAATGCTTTTCTTTAATAATTGACATTATTAGTGGGAAATTAATGATTATTAAACCCATACCCATTCAAATTACTCACGTATTATTCCTCAAAACTGTACTGTAAGCATGAAGGATTCTTTTAATGTGCATCATTGCATGTAATAAACCATACCATTAGTGGCATAATAATGGTTATTAACAATTATGAACCCTTTCGTGGCGCATTTACGCTAAGCTCCGTTTAAAATTTGTCTCAAATAATTAAAAATTAATGATCATTTAACTTTGAAAAAATAGATTATTTTTAAAACACACGTAAAAGAATAATAGAAGATTAGTTCAATAAAATTGCTAAAATTCCAATCCCTATCATACTCGTCTACTGCTGAATTATCTCTGAGAGTTAATGCTCTGTTTTCTGGATTTAAAAAAGAGACTCTAAGGCATGTTTGGCATCAACTTTAGAGATTAGTGTTAACATTTTGTGTTAGACAATTACAATAGTATTACTTATGGTAATATTGGCTATGATAATGTTTGATTATTAGTCAGTTTCCTATTCATATTAATGGTAGATGTAATATTTTAGTAAGTTTCCATTCTCTATTTCTAGTTGTGTAAGAAGTTCCTCCTATATATACTCTATCATGTACTTCATAATTTAATGAGTAATAGTATTAATTTATTATTTTAATATTATTGATGGATATCGGGTCTGGTAGACCCGACTTCAGGCCCAAATGGAGGCCCATAATGACCCAAAAAGAATAAGACCAGATGGGATGACGGGCCAAGCCCGTCATCCCGTATTTGGCAAGAGGAGGAAGACGGCCCAAACACGAGGTAGATCAAAGCGACCCAGTCCAAAGGAGGAATGGGACACGTGGCCCACATCGTCGAGTTATGGGCGAAATGGGAAGAGAACGAGACCGGAAAGAAGGGGAATCACAACCCCATGATCTCCATAATCCATTTCCATTTTGTGTAATTTTAATTAGAATATTAGAAAGTACTATAAAGAGGGGAAAACCTGCCATTGTAAAGCAGGTCACAACAAGACAATTCAATACTTAATCAAAGAATATTATCGAGTAATTATATCTTCCTAATTCATATTCCGTTCTTGGTCCGCCATCTGATCGGGTTAATCCCATCATTGGTGCTTTCATTGAGATTATACTATGAGATAAGGCTGTGAGATAATGGCCGGACGAAGGACGAGACGTAACCCTGCTACTTCTGCCCAGTCGACGGTGAGGAGTGACAACCCTGAGCAGGGTATGATTGTTCCTGTCAATGGGTTGGAAACAGCGCTAAATAATGTGGCTAACATGATGGCCAACATTATGGAGCGATTAGATAAGGCTCTTCCAGGTCCATCCGGAACCCGGGATATCCCACCCGGGCAACCCCGCCAGGTCCTGCGTACTGCGAGTTCTCCTATCTTACAGGAGCTCCACGATCCGGAGGAGGTTGAAAGGGAAAGGCGAGCCATTGACAGACGCCGGGCGGAGGAATTGGCCCGGAACAACAAGGTGAACGAAGGCCAGGCTAAGGATCCAAGCCGGATCTTCGGCGATGGACACGAAAATCCACGGGGATCTGTCTTTGAAAGGATATCTCGCCAGAAAGTTCACGTTAGTGAGAGGCTGGGGAAGAATCCGGAAAAGGCACCCCAGGGTTGGATACGACCTCAGGCCAGCCAGGTGGCATCCTCCAATCGCGAACCCCGGCAGCGAAATGATCGAGGCGTGAGCCAAGTGCCGGTCCGGTCATTGCGGAATCTAAAGGAGGACGAGGTTCAAAGCCAAGCCAGGGTCCCAGCACCGCGGCGTCTGGGACCGCCGGTGCCGGAAGCTGGTGAATTTCAAGACCTGAGACAGCAGATCCAGGAGATGCAGAGGAAGATAAACAAGGGTCGAGTGTTCACTACTCGAACGAATACTCCCTTGGCTCCAGAGATCTTTGCGGAACCATATCCGCAGGGATTCAAAATGCCATTTGTCAAGCATTATGACGGCGAATCAGACCCCCAAGAGCACATAAATAGCTATGTCCAAGTGATGATCGCCGTGGACGCCAGTGACGCGCTCATGTGTCGGTGCTTCTTGCAGACTGTTGATAGCAAGGTTGCAGACTGGGTCAACCATATCCCTGCCGAATCAGTCCGAACATGGGATGAATTGGGACTACCGTTCCTAGAGCATTTTGCTGGGAACTGCCGCCCCAAAAAGCATTTCACTCACTTGGCATCGGTGCGACAGAAGCACGGAGAATCCTTGAAGAATTTCCTTACCCGATGGAGGAAAGAGTCCAGGGAAGTTGAAGGAACTGATGATAAGTCCAGGTTGGCTTTGTTCACGGCGGCATTACAGGATGGACTCCTTCACACCGATCTCACTACACATCCCCCGGATACCTTCGAGGAAGCGATGGTCCGGGCTGGGAGGTATGTGACCCTGGAAGAAAGAAAGGAGGAGAAGAAAGAGAAGACTCCTAAAGAAGAAGAGAAGTCGGGAACAAAGAAGCCGTTTAAGAATAAGAAGCAGGGCTTCCCGGATGGCCCAAAGGGCGCAAGTCCCGGGACCACGGAGAAGCATAAATCTGCCAATTCAGTCTTTACACTGCCAGTGGCTGAGGTCATGGCCCATGCAGCACAGCAGGGGCTCATGACTTACCCAACCTATTCTCAGAAGGTTTGCAATGTGGAAGACACTGGGAAATGGTGTGCTTACCATCGCAAAAATGATCACAACACAGAAGATTGTTATACTCTGAAGAATGAGATGGCAAGGCTGATTCGCCGGGGTCATCTGAAGAAGTTTGTACAAGATGGTGATGCCGGGAATCCCGGGAATGCTCAGAATGGGAAACGCAGAGATAAAGAAGTAGCCCAGGCTGAGGCCCGGGAGAAACGCCACATTGGACTAGAAGACGAAGAGGAGGATTCGGAACCCGCGCCGCATCGCCAGAAGAGACACCACGGGTGTAACTTCATCATTGGAGGGAATACTGGTGGGGACTCGGCCACAAGTCGGAAGAAGTGGGCTAACGCGGCAATGGTCAACAAGGTGCTGGTCCCGGAAGGTAAGAAGTTGAAAACCGAGCCTATTGTGTTTTCTAATGCTGATCTTCCAGAGACAGGGGTTCCTCATAGGGACGCCCTGGTAATTACTATTGATATAATGGACTTACTGATCCACAAAACTCTTATGGATACGGGAAGCTCCGTTAATATCATGTACATTGACACATACAAGGCTCTCGGTTTGACGAGAGATGAGTTATCCCCACCACGACAAACTCCATGTCCAGCTTCCGGGTAGCCTTAGTATCCCCTATCTCAACCGGGAGGGTTATCACCCCCTCCGGTTCAATAGAATCACCAGTAAACCCGGATTGGAAGATTTGGAGTGTGTCATCTCACCTCGTCACCTCTGCATAAAATTCCCAACCCCCCACGGAGTTGGAATTGCCAGGGGATCTCAGAGAGTATCCCGGGCATGGTACTTGAAGGCAACCAAACAGCCCGTCAAATACGATACCCAAGTGGGAGAGGTCACTGCACAGCTCTTGAGGGCTGAGGAAAAACGTCCTAGAGTAGAAGTTGCCGGCGACATCGAAGAAGTGGAATTGGAGCCAGGCACGCTGAGAAGGTTGGTGAGGATCGGCAAGGACCTGGGGGCTGAACTCAGATCACGAGTGATTTCAGTCCTCAGGAGGTTCAGAAGGGTCTTTGCATGGAGTCCAGCTGATATGCCAGGGCTGGATCACAAGATTTCTGTTCATCGCCTAAATGTTCTACCGGAGGCCAAACCTGTGAAGCAAAAACAAAGGCATTTGTCGCAAGAAAGAAGAGATTTCGTAAAGAAGGAGGTAGCAGCCCTACAGAGCATTGGGCATATCCGGGAGGTACAATACCCGGATTGGTTGGCGAATGTAGTCCTAGCACCCAAGCCACCTTCATGGAGGATGTGCGTCAACTACACAGATCTGAACAAGGCATGCCCCATGGATCCGTTTCCACTCCCCAACATTGATCAGATGGTCGATGAAACTGCCGGGTCGGAGTTAATGAGCTTCATGAACGCTTTCAGCGGATATCACCAGATCCGGATGCATCCGGCCGATGCTGAGAGGACAAGCTTTATGACCCCAGAAGGGCTGTACTGTTACCTAGTGATGGCTTTTGGACTGAGAAATTTCGGGGCCACATATACCCGGATGGTTTCTCAGGTGTTCAAGACTGTCCTAGGGCAGACCATGGAGGCGTATGTTGATGATATGATTGTCAAGTCCAAAGAGGCCCGAGACCATGTCCGGGACCTTGAAGAGGTCTTTGAAATCATGATGAAGGTAAATCTGAGATTGAACCCGAAAAAATGTACCTTTGCTGTTCAAGGTGGGAAATTCCTAGGGCACATGGTAAGCCGGAAAGGAATTGAGGCAAACCCGGAGAAAGTTAGAGCCATCATGGAGATGGAACCTCCGAAGACAGCCAAGGAGGTTCAGCGGCTAACAGGAAGATTGGCGGCCTTAAATCGTTTCCTTTCAAAGCTGGCAGAGAAGGCGCACCCATTCTTTGCGGTGATTAAGAAAAGGGCGACCTTCGAATGGACACCGGAATGTCAAGAAGCATTTGAAGGATTAAAGAGATATCTCACAAGTCCGCCGGTTTTATCCAAGCCGGAACCTGGGGATATTCTGACTCTATATTTGGCGATTGCGGATTGTGCCATAAGTACTGTGATCGTGAGAGAAGAGCGTGGGGCCCAACATCCGGTCTACTACGTCAGCAAGACCCTGAGGGATGCGGAGTTAAGGTATTCCCGACCAGAGAAAGCCATGTTGGCGGTCTTCTGGACGGCGAAGAGATTGACACCGTACTTTTAGGCTCACCGGATTATTGTGCTCACCAATGAGCCATTGGCGTCACTTAGCCAGAGCCCGGCGGCATCGGCCCAGATGACCAAGTGGGCGGTCTTTATCAGTCAGTACAACGTGGAATTCAGGCCGCGCCCATCCATCAAAGGGCAAGCACTCGCTGATTTCCAAGTCGAGTGCACCGCTAGGGAAATGACGAGAGCCCAGGTTGAAACCCGGATGGAGAAAGATTGGTGGATAATGTGCATCGACGATAGAAGACCCAGAGCTAGAACGCCTCGTCCATAGCAGAACCAGTGGGGTCTTTTAAAGGCCTAAATAATGCGGTAGTCTAAAGTCAAGGCACAGAGGTTGTTACTTCGACTCATACTCCGGGACTAGTTACCAAACTTCTAAGAACCATTCTACCCTCATAGGTCCCAAGTTCAGATGTCGCTGAGGGCTGACCACCACGGACAAATCACAGGGGAGTTTGAGGCAAAGGAAGAGAGGATGAAGAGGTACCGGGACTTGTCTCTAGAGATGTTGGGAAAGTTTGAGTTTAAGCTTGAACATATACCCCGAGCCCAGAACGCAGAGGCCGATGTTCTGTCCAAGCTCAGCGCAGAATCACCGGAATACATGAGCAGATTAGCAACTGTCGAAGAGCTGGTAACCCCGAGTCTTAACAGCAGTGAAGTGCTCTGGGTATCAGCCGATCCCCCGGAATGGCTGGACCAATTGGCCAAATATATTGAGGACGGCGAGGCCCCGGAGAATCCCCAGGAAGCGCGTCTATTACGAATGAGGGCACCAACCTACAAGGTGCAGGACGGAGTCCTCTATAAGCGGTCTTACAACGGTGTCCTACTCCGTTGCCTTAGAGCAACAGAGGCGAAGGCATTGATGGAAGAAATACACGAAGGAGTATGTGCCGCACATCAGGGTCCTTATTCCATTTCCCGGAGGGCTATCATCCAGGGATATTTCTGGCCAACGATGAGGAAGGATTGCGAAGAGTATGTACGCAAGTGCCTGACTTGCCAGCAATTCCAGAATATACCCGGGAGACCTGCCACTAACTACACACCCATCAGCTCCGTGATTCCCTTCTCAAGATGGGGGATTGATCTTGTGGGGGACCTGCCAAAAGGGGCGGGGCAGGCAAGATGAATTGTGGTGGCGATAGACTATTTCACAAAGTGGGTGGAGGCTGAGCCACTTGCAGGGATCACCGGAAGGCAGATGATCGACTTCGTTGGGACTAATATACTCTGCAGGTTTGGAGTCCCGAAGCAGATTATATCAGATAATGGAACCCAGTTTGAGGAAGCAGAATTTAAAGACTTTCTCAGAACTTGGGGAATTCAGCACACAAAGGTGTCTGTTGCGTACCCTCAGGCTAATGGACAAGTGGAGAACGTCAACAGAACAATCATAGACAGAATAAAGAAGAAGCTACTTTCAAAAGGAAGCAAATGGGTAGATGAACTGCCCAGAATCCTGTGGACATATAGGACGACTCCGAGGAGAGCCACGGGTGACACTCCTTTTGGCTTTGCGTATGGTTTTGAAGCCCGGGCCCCCGCCGAGGTAGTAATCCCCACCAGGAGAGAAATGGAATATGACCCGGAGGTGAATGAACAGAATCAGGCCGTAGAGCTGAATTTCGTAGAAGAACGAAGGGATGAAGCACGCATCCGGGCAGAAAATTATCGTTGCCAGGTGAAATCTTACTTTGATAGCAAGGTGAGACCAAGGGCATTCCAGGTGGGGGATTATGTTCTGAGGAAACGAGAGAAGAGTCAACCAACTAAAGGTGGGAAGCTAGCGAGGAAGTATGAAGGACCTTATATCATCAAGGCCGTAGTTCGCCCAGGTACCTACAAGTTGGTGACTCCCAAGGGGAAAGAAATTGATAGGACATGGAATCTAAAGCACTTGGTCAAATTTTATCAGTAAATCATTTTGTAAAAATACTCTGTTTTTAATTTCAAATGTTTGTTTCATTCACCTTCTTCTATAGCCAAGTGCCTTTGCAATTTCATTGTTCTATGGATTTCTTTAAAAAAAAGGGGGGGGGGGAAGCACCCCCGGGCAATGTAGACCCGCGTTACAGGGAGGTAGAAAAGTTTATGCCACCTGCTAAAAATAGGGGAGGTAGATAAGTTTATGCCCCCCGGAGGTAGAGAAGTTTATGCCTCCGTCAAGATTGAAGGAAGGGTTGGGATTGGACTTCGAGGGCCACTACAACCCGGAATTCAGGAAGAATAGCAAGCAGACTTCGAGGGCTGAAGCTTAGTATTCCACTAGTATAGATCAACCGAGCAAACAAACTTCGAGGGTTGGAGCTCAACTGATCCAAGGTAGATAAGATTATGCCTTAACTCGGAGGAAGGGAAGGCTAGGGGCAGATATGATAAGGGCCCTAGGTATTCCCAAACCCCGGGAAGATGAGATTTATCATAGAGAATGAATTATGTACTTGCATTTAAAG